TCTCCGAGTTATGAGCCGTCGCTCGGTTGATTTTTTGCTTTGAGTTGCGAGCCAAATTCTGAGTTACGAGTGAGCTTCAGATACTCCGCCACTAGTTGGAGGTGTATCTGAAGTCAAATCCAACTCTGTACCCAGAGGAATGTCAGGTACTTTGTCCCATCCCACATGCTCTTCCAAGACACAACTAGAAGAATAATACTCCCACACTAATCCCAGATTGTAGCGAGACACTTCGTCCCTTGTTTGGTTCTCGTATAAATCCAGGGAGGAGGTAACCTCTATTTCAACACTCAAGACTTTTCCCAGAAACAGTAAGGTGGGTGGAGCACTGATAATGGTGGGTGGAGTACTGATGGTGGTTGGTGGAGTAGTGATGGTGGTCGGTGTAGTAGTGGTGGGTGGAGTAGTGATGGTGGTGGGTGGAGTAGTGATGGTGGTGGGTGTAGTAGTAGTGGTGGGTGGAGTAGTAATAGTGGTGAGTGAAGTAGTGATGGTGGTGGGTGGAATACTGATAGTGGGTGGAGTAGTGGTGGTGGTGGGTGGAGTACTGATAATGGTGCCAAATGACTTCAAACAGGCGATAAATGACATGCCCATACACTCTGCCCCAGGGCCAGACTCGTGGAACTCCGTGTTCATCAAGAACTGCAAGAAGCCCCTATCACGAGCCTTTTCCATCCTATGGAAAGGGAGCATGGACACGGGGGTCGTCCCACAGTTACTAAAAACAACAGACATAGCCCCACTCCACAAAGGGGGCAGTAAAGCAACAGCAAAGAACTACAGACCGATAGCACTAACATCCCATATCATAAAAATCTTTGAAAGGGTCCTAAGAAGCAAGATCACCACCCATCTAGAAACCCATCAGTTACACAACCCAGGGCAACATGGGTTTAGAACAGGTCGCTCCTGTCTGTCTCAACTATTGGATCACTACAACAAGGTCCTAAATGCACTAGAAGACAAAAAGAATGCAGATGTAATATATACAGACCTTGCAAAAGCCTTCGACAAGTGTGACCATGGCGTAATAGCGCACAAAATGCGTGCTAAAGGAATAACAGGAAAAGTCGGTCAATGGATCTATAATTTCCTAACAGAACACAGAGAGTAGTCGTCAACAGAGTAAAGTCCGAGGAAGCTACGGTGAAAAGCTGTTACACAAGGCACAGTACTCGCTCCCATCTTGTTCCTCATCCTCATATCCGACATAGACAAGGATGTCAGCCACAGCACCGTGTCTTCCTTTGCAGATGACACCCGAATCTGCATGACAGTGTCTTCCATTGCAGACACTGCAAGGCTCCAGGCAGACATCAACCAAATCTTTCAGTGGGCTGCAGAAAACAATATGAAGTTCAACGATGAGAAATTTCAATTACTCAGATATGGTAAACATGAGGAAATTAAATCTTCATCAGAGTACAAAACAAATTCTGGCCACAAAATAGAGCGAAACACCAACGTCAAAGACCTGGGAGTGATCATGTCGGAGGATCTCACCTTCAAGGACCATAACATTGTATCAATCGCATCTGCTAGAAAAATGACAGGATGGATGAGAACCTTCAAAACTAGGGAGGCCAAGCCCATGATGACACTCTTCAGGTCACTTGTTCTATCTAGGCTGGAATATTGCTAGACACTTACAGCACCTTTCAAGGCAGGTGAAATTGCTGACCTAGAAAATGTACAGAGAACCTTCACGGCGCGCATAACGGAGATAAAACACCTCAATTACTGGGAGCGCTTGAGGTTCCTAAACCTGTATTCCCTGGAATGCAGGCGGGAGAGATACATGATTATATACACCTGGAAAATCCTAGAGGGACTAGTACTGAACTTGCACACGAAAATCACTCACTACGAAAGCAAAAGACTTGGCAGACGATGCAACATCCCCAATGAAAAGCAGGGGTGTCACTAGCATGTTAAGAGACCATACAATAAGTGTCAGGGGCCCGAGACTGTTCAACTGCCTCCCAGCATACATAAGGGGGATTACCAAAAGACCTCTGGCAGTCTTCAAGCTGGCACTGGACAAGCACCTAAAGTCGGTGCCTGACCAGCCGGGCTGTGGCTCGTACGTTGGTTTGCATGCAGCCAGCAGTAACAGTCTGGTTGATCAGGCTCTGATCCACCAGGAGACCTGGTCACAGACCGGGCCGCGGGGGCGTTGACCCCCGGAACTCTCTCCAGGTAAACTCCAGGTAGTGATGGTGGTGGGTGGAGTAGTGATGGTGGTGGGTGGAGTAGTGATGGTGGTGGGTGTAGTGATGGTGGTGGGTGGAGTAGTGATGGTGGTCAGTGGTGCAGTGATGGTGGTTGGTGGAGTAGTGAATGTGGTCAGGGGAGTAGTGATGGTGGTGGGTGGAGTAGCGATAGTGGTGGGTGAAGTAGTGATAGTGGTGGGTGAAGTAGTGATAGTGGTGGGTGAAGTAGTGATAGTGGTGGGTGAAGTAGTGATGGCGGTGAGTGAAGTAGTGATGGCGGTGGGTGTAGTACTGATAGTGGGGTGAGTAGTGATGATGATGGGAGTACTGATAATGGTGGGGAAGTAGCGATGGTGGTAAATGGAGTAGTGATAGTGGTGGTTTGTCATCATGGTGGTGGGTGGAGTAGTGATCGTGGTGGATGGAGTAGTGATAATGGTGGGTGGAGTAGATATGGTAGTGGGTGGAGAAGATATGGTGGTGGGTGGAGTAGTGAGGGTGGTGGGTGGAGAATACAATATTTCTTATTTATATGTACATTTTTCTTATTTAAAAACCTGTAACCAAGAAACTGGGGTGGTTTTTTGGGGGCTGGAACAGATTAATGGAATTTCCATTAATTTCAATGAGGAAAATTGATTTGATATATGAGCAGCTGGTCACGGAACGAATTAAACTCACGAGTCAAGGTACCACTGTACTAGAGGGAGAGAGCACAACTTTGTAGTAGCCACAGTCAGTGGTCAGGCTTCAAACACCTTTTATTGTACAGCAATAAAGGAATGGAACAGACTACCTGCACATGTCAAAGCCAATCATAGTATGAACCAGTTCAAGAAGAGTGCCAAAAGGTGCCTAGTGAATGTAGCGACAGAAAGGGAGGAGAATGATTTTTTTTTTTTTAGCTAACACACATGTAAATGTAAATATGTAACTCATTTTACCTTATTCCTAGCATATATCCTTTGTAGTATGATGATAAGATATCTCCTACATTGAATAATAATAACATATTAAAAGGATCCCAATGGAAATAAGTCACTTTGACTTTTTTGGGTTACCCTAGGTTATCCACACATGCTGCTATGTATGATAATCTATGCAACTGTATTTGTGTATACCTGGATAAACTTACTTATCATACATAGTGTAAATTACCTAGGATAACCCCCCCAAAAAGTCAGTGACCTTTTTTTATTGGGGGTCCTCGTAATATCTTATTATTTAAACTGTAAAAGTTAAAACAGCTAAGTAACTCAACTGTATGGTATATGTATGTATGGTAAATATGTGTATGTGTGGATGCACATAAAGAAATACATGTATAGCCAGCAGGATTTGAACCATAGGGATAATGCTATCCCACAGGTTAATACAATGCCATCCTGGAGTTTACCTGGAGAGAGTTCTGGGGATCAATGCCCCCGTAGCCCAGTCTGTGACCAGACCTCATGGTGGATCAGGACCTGATCAACCAAGCTGTTACTGCTGGCTGGACGCACTCCAACGTACAAACCACAGCCCAGCTGGTCAGGTACCAACTTTAGGTGCCTGTCCAGTGCCAGCTTGAAGACAGCCAGAGGTCTATTGGTAATCCCCCTTATGTATGCTGGGAGGCAGTTGAACAGTCTTGGCCCCTGACACTTATTGTGTTGTCTCTTAATGTGCTAGTGACACCCCTGCTTTTCATTGGGGGATACTGCATCGTCTGCCGAGTCTTTTGCTTTCGTAGGGAGTGATTTTCGTGTGCAAGTTTGGTACTAGTCCCTCTAGGATTTTCCAGGTGTATATAATCATGTACCTCTCCCGCCTGCATTCCAGGGAATACAGGTTTAGGAACCTCAAGCACTCCCAGTAATTGAGGCGTTTTATCTCCATTATGCGCGCCGTGAAGGTTCTCTGTACATTTTCTAGGTCAGCAATTTCACCTGCCTTGAAAGGTGCTGTTAATGTGCAGCAATATTCCAGCCTAGATAGAACAAGTGACCTGAAGAGTGTCATCATGGGCTTGGCCTCCCTAGTTTTGAAGGTTCTCATTATCCATCCTGTCATTTTTCTAGCAGATGCGATTGATACAATGTTATGGAATGGAAGGCAGCCAGGTTTGATCCAAGGAGAGGTATTATTATTACATTCAAAAACTGCACTGAATCTTTATGGGTCTAAAACCATCATAATATGCAACAGATGAACTTGCAAATTAACAAAGAAAACTGAAGTTGGTGTAATGAATCAGTTTCAATCAAAAAAGTCATAGTACGCCTGTACTGAAAACACCATAAGGCTTTCTGAAAAAAAAAAAAGTGAAAAAACAAGTTGATAATTAATCCTATGTACTCTTAGATAATTGGAACAATTAAGATAAAAGTATTTAACCGTCAATAAAACATGAGAAGTTGCATACAAGGAAGAGAAGATCTAACTCCTTGCATCAAGATCCCTTCACCGGCACATCTCTTTGTGTGAGAACTTAAATAACACTCAGCCTCAGTTATCTCATCCTGAACATTGTCAAAGACATAATTTAGCAAAATATGTCAGAGAAAATAGCCAAACACTTTACAAACATCATCACTAATCATTATTAATCATTTTTTCGGTGCCTTAGCAACAGCAGCCGAGTCAAGGTCATTACGTCACCGGCTGCTTAACATTAACCTCTTTAATGTTCATTTAACAAATAATGAACATACTAATAAAACATGGCCACAGCATACTTAAAAAAATTAATAGAAACCCTAAATTAATGACGATATTGAAGCTAAAACCCTCAAAACGACTCACCTTTCGGGTACTGCTCCGTACATACCACAGGCAAGTCCAATAATTTAAAAGCCTTCAACAGTCTATTGGATATCTCAACTATCTGTGGGAAAAACTGAACAGAACTTCTGAATTTTTCTTGCATATCACATAGAAACAAGCAAGTATTTCGGGGTACAAACTTCCCCAGGTTCCTTGAGAGTGCAGACGCCATGTTGCTGTTGTTGGGAGTTAAGGGCCAGCACAACATGAGCCGTATTATGGACTGTCTCCCTGGGACCGTCTTTGTCAAATTCAAATGTTTATTTCTCTGTATAAATCACAATGTGTAGTGTACATATTATAAGCTTATTATAAAAGTAAGTAGTTATTACAAAAAAGGCCACTGGTATGACTAGGTATGCCTGGAGTTTACCTGGAGAGAGTTCCGGGGGTAAACGCCCCCGCAGCCCGGTCCATGACCAGGCCTCCTAGTGGATCCGAGCCTGATCAACCAGTAATTGAGGTGTTTTATCTCCGTTATGCGCGCCGTGAAGGTTCTCTGTACATTTTCTAGGTCAGCAATTTCACCTGCCTTGAAAGGTGCTGTTAGTGTGCAGCAATATTCCAGCCTAGATAGAACAAGCGACCTGAAGAGTGTCATCATGGGCTTGGCATCCCTAGTTTTGAAGGTTCTCATTATCCATCCTGTCATTTTTCTACCCGATGCGTTTGATGTTAGGGTCCTTGAAGGGGATCCTCCGAAAATGTCACTCCCGGGTTTCTTTACTTTGGGTTTTTTCGCTCTGTTTTTTTGGCCAAAATTTTGTTTTGTACTCTGATGAATTTTTAAATTTCCTCATGTTTACTATATGGATTTAATTGAGATTTCTCATCGGAACTTCATTTTGGGTTTTCTGCACCCCTTTGAAAGTTTTGGGTTTTGCAGGGGCGTCGAAAGGGGGGGGCGGAGGGGGGGGGGGTCCCCCCGGGTGACCCTTTTTAAGGGGGTGACACTTAGAGTCAAAAGGGGGTGACACTAATGCCCAAAAAATTTTGCTGAAAAGCAAACCCAAGAAAAAAAATTTCTTCTTTTCAAATATGGGCCCTTTTATGGGATTCATAGAACAAATGGGCCTAAAAAGGGGAAAATCATTGATTTTGATGATGTGATAGATGTTTTTTGGCAGGTTTAAAAGGAAGGGAAAATTGAATACAGATTCTTTGAAATTTTAAACCTGTACTAAAGGTTAAATCGGAATTTAGTTTTTTCCCCTTCATTTTTCTTTTTTTTAATTTTTGAAGTTGAATAAATGTGGGATCTTTTAAACCTGTCTCAAAGTAGTATTTGATTTTAATGTTTCCTCAGTATTACTACATTATTTTTTTATCATTAATATATTAGTCCCTTTTTATTAAATTTTTAAACATAATTATAACTTTAAAAAATTCCCTTTTAAGTACTCCCCTTCCCTTATCATTTTCCCCAAGCAATTATATGGACCCATCACTTTTTTTATTAGCCCCTTAGCTCTTATTTTACATTTGTTAAATAATTCAGGTTATTTTTTAGTTTAAGGGACTTTTTAAACTTTGTTTTATATTTAATTCTAACAAAAGTTTCACTACAAAATTTATTTTAAAAAGCATTGATCCTAAACCCAAACCTCTTTTTTTAATGATTTAAAATGAATCAAACAGTTACTGTAATTACTACACTGCAGAACAATCAAAGGAAATTTCTCAGTCCCCAACAACAACAAAAACTATCTTTAACTACAATATCAGATTTTTAAAGCAAGCATTACGATGACCCATAGCTTACAAAATTTCCCTTTACTCCAAAAAGTCCATCATTCACAACTGAAACCTGGTTTAAGCCTGATAGTACAGATGTCTACCCATTCCTGGTTACAAGCCATACACAACTTTTAGGCCAGCCCAAACGGGGGTGGCACAGCCTTATACTACTCAGACCAACTAGAATGAAATCACTAATATTTGCAAAAAGGGATAAACAGGGAATATAAAATAGCTAAATTCAAACCCAAAATACCTAAAAAAACCCTCTAAAATTTGAAAAAACATCTACAGAGTTCCACTAAAACCTTTACCCAAATTTTTTATTTAAAAATTTCAGGAAGTATGATAATTTGATGCACGCATGAAAAAGATACTTACCACTCCCCGGGTTGATTTTAAATTTATAAATCTCCTGCAAGACCGGGACCCACACGTTACGGGAATTAACAAACACAATGAGTAACTGTTTTACTACCAACGTAAAAAAAACCTAAAGATTTACAGAGCTAGTGTTTCCCTATTTGGGACCCCCTTTCCTGGCCCAAACCCCAATACCCCCTTTTAAAAATCAGGCATAATTTACAGAAAATACCACAGCCCCATTTACCCTATTTCCTCAAAACAAATCTTGGTAAACTCCCCCAAAGACACTCCCAAAGTCCCCCCCCTTCAGACTTCACAAAAAGGCAGCCATTAATAACTTCGAAACCCAGCATTAGAAAACCCTTGTTTGGGCAAAATGAGCTAAAATCTAACAGATTTTGACGAATGTATTAATAATTTTCAAAAAAAAGACCCAATACCCTATAAAAAGGCACTGCCCTAAAAAAAAAAACAGATGACAGAAAAAGAGACTGAACGGGTCCCTGGCAAACCCCCGGGCCTTTCTAAAAACCCAAAAATACAAAACACAAATGAAAAAATTTAAGAAGGGGGCCCCACAAAACCCCAAAGCCCAAAACCCAAAACTTTACTCGTCAATCCTAACCACCTGATAAGAAGGGAAAAAAAATTTGTATTATGAAAAACGTTTTACCAAATTTCGAGGTGATATAAAAAAGCCCGGGGAAAAAAACTATCTAAAATTTCTGGGAAAAAAAAGATATCACGAAATAGCAAAATAAAATTAGAAAAATCAGATAACCCCCAAATCCCCCCAACAGAAACAGCAAAAAAAGACTCAATGATTTCCCTTTTCCCCTATAGGACAAAACCTTGCCCCTAAAAACCCCCGCTCAAGATACCCCCCCAAATTTAACTACCTCACCGGCAACTACCCGAAAACCTTTTTCCCAGCTCCGAAACCCCTACGAAAATCTCCCTTAAATTTTCAAACACTAAAAAACAAAGGGAGGAGATTTAAGTTAAACCCTTTCCACCCTTTTTTTTTATTTTAAAAAAAAAAAAAAAGTGTAAAAAATTTCATCTCCAATCATTGCAAAATCTTTAAACAATCCATTTGAATCCTCCCCCTTCCCCATACTCAAAATAGCAAGGGTCACCCGGGTCCCAAAGGGGGGAGACCCAAAAAGAAATTAAAACTATAGGCCAATATACAATTCCCCCTTTTCCAAAAACTTGAAAACTAATTCATAAACCCAATCTACTCCTAAACCCTTTTTCCCAAAAAAAATTTCTCAACCCCCCCAATTTTGGGTTAAAGGGCCCAATAAAAATTTTAATAAAAGGGGCTATTATCACATGCTAGAACATATATACAATGCAAAAGAGAAAAAAAAAGTCCCCCTGGGGGTTTTTCATTGACTTCGTAAAGTTTTGATACAGTTGACCAAGACTTGCTCCACGTAAAAATTTTCCACATGGTATAAAAGGGCACTCCCCTAATTACCTCAAGTCAAACCTCAGCAACAGAAAACCAAAATTTTGACGCCAAAAGGGGAAAAATCTTCTGCGCAACCCAAATTTCAGTTGGTGTCCCACAGGGGAAATGGGCCCTTTGGGCCCCCTTCTCTTTTCCCATACATTAAAAGACCCTTTCCAAAAGCTTCGCAATTCCCCAAAACCCCCACTATTTTGGAAAAATGACACTACAACGGCCCTTTTCCCCCCCAGCCCCGTCCACTAGCCCCCACCGGGAAAAACCGAATTACAGAAAAAATTTTACCCGATGGGACAAAAACTTACACAAACATTTTACAAAACCTACTTATTCGTTTTGGGACAGAGCTACAGATGTCCCTCTTAACATAATGAAAACGGATCACCTATCACAAAGGGTAACAGAGGGAAAATTCCCTTTGGGAAACCACCTTGTTAAAAGGGCTCAAATTTTATACAATTTACAAAAAAATTTCTAAGAAAAAATTTTCCCAAAACTGTAGGCATACTATCGAAGATACGGACTATGTTTCCCCAGTCAGCCCTCCTGGCCCTATATCACTCTCTTATTTACCCCCATCTCACCCAGGGGAATTTTTGAAAGGGGCTCAACAACAGTTTTAACCCCTCTCTACCAATAATTTTCCCAAAAAAAAGGCTGCAGTTAGAAGATAACAAATTCTCACTACAGGCAGAAAACTCCACCAATATTCAAAAACACTAAAAACCCACTCCCCCATACAAAACATCCTTAAAATTTTTAATGCACCTAATTTTCCTACATAAAAACTTTAATTGATATTAACCCCCCCCTCAAAATCTCCTTGCCAACCTCCAAAAGAACACTGACCATAACACAAGACACAGATCACTCTTTGATGTTCCTCGTGTTCATCTCACAATATGCAAAAACTCAATGCACATAAAAGGCCCTAAAATCTGGAATTCATTACCTGTAAATATAAAAGAAACACTACCTGTTTATAAGTTCAAGTCTCTACTCAAAGATCACTTACTCACCCAAAACCAAATAAATACTGAATAACTGAAACCTTATAAATTGTATATCTTAAATGTTTCTCACAATTATATCACATAAATGTTAAACCTAAAACCCAATCTAACTTTATTATTTTTTAAATACACTACCTAACAGAATCCTTCATATGACCTGTCTTTGTAATACTCACTTGTGCTTTATAGTAATCTGTTTACATTAATGTTTTATCACTGACTTCATCATTGCTTAGTTAATCTTAAGTTAATTTTAAGCCAGCCCGTAATGCTATGCATAGTATAAGTGGCTTTGGCATACTGCTCTTATCTGTATTTTTTTGTACCTCTGTATGTGTGCACAAATTTATAATAAATAAATAAATAAATTAATAAAGTTCGGTTTATGGCCTTTAAATGTTCTCATTATTAAACATTAGTCACTGGTCAAGCAGCAGTGATGTAACTGGTCATGCAGCAGTGATGTAACTGGAATTTACTACCCCTATCCCCCCGCCCTTGGATTTCATTGGGTGACACCAAAGATGCTGCCCCGGGTGACACCAACTCTAGCGACGCCTCTGTTTGGTTGATGTCCGCCTGGAGCCTTGCAGTGTCTGCAATGAAAGACACTGTCA